ACAACGGAGAGTACAACCCCTTCGTTGAGGTCAACCATTCAGTACTGATTGTCGGTTACGGCGTTGACTCCAAGACTAATGAGAAGTATTGGATCGTTAAGAACTCATGGGGCGCCTCCTGGGGTGATCATGGTTATTTCAAAATCGCAAGGGGCAAAAATACGCAAGGAATAGAAAGCATAGCCGTTGAGGCCATTCCTATTCCCAATTAAATACTGTAACAACTAAATGTTGAATCAAATTGAAAATAAAAATAAAATATTGTATATTTCATAAACATATCACAAACCAATTTTCAATCAATAATTATCAATTTATAAACTAAACTTTGAGTTGCAGTTATAACGGAAAAACAGGGCGTTTGTGAGACTCATACCTTTTTAGACGTTGGAAATTGTTACCAACAATTAAATCAATTACACAAATTTGGCATAATTGTAGTTTATTGCCTGGTTAAGGTATGGGTTACAAAATTATTGTAATTTGTTTATTAGTTTGTTATCTAGTATCATACCCGTTCAGTATCAATGTTTCAGATTTTCATTGAAAATTATAACAAAAACAAATTTTACACTTATTTAGTACTAATTAAAATAGAGTTTTCTATAGTATTTATTTAAGCAATTGTAAATACAGTACTCAATAAATTACATTTGTTTTGTACTCATTATATGAGTGGTGATTGATATACAGATTTTATAAAATATTATACCTTAAAAAGCACAATAATAGTTTTAAAGTATGCAGTCATTTAAGACAACCTAGGTCTTAGAGCAAGTGGACACATTTTGTAAAATACATTTTAGTGCAAAAATTCTGGGTCTAAGTCCTCGATAATAAACAACAGATTAAGTGAACCCAGACTTTCGTCTATAATCAGATTGTTTACACGTTTTCTCATTTAACTAAACTGTATATAAAAGCCTAAACTAATCAATATTTTAATCAAAACTCGTCAAAGTATTTGGTGTTTGACATTATTGTAATATTTTATAAACTATAATTAGTTTTAATTTCATAAAATGAGTGAAAATTATATATCGCAAGACTTGAATGTGAGCAAGGAGGATATTAAGCCTCCGGTTGAGTTGAGTAAACCACTGGAAATCATTGAACGACAACT